ATAGGCGACAAGACTTTGTAAGACTTTGATAAATCATGTATTCGTGAACATACTCCTCTTCTGCCTGTGTTTTTCCAGATTTTATCAGTTTTTATTTAGTGATTCATGGTTTATTCTCAGTTTATCTGCTAAATCTCTGGCAGTTTTATTGCACTCTGTTCAGTGGCTTCTTTGAGTTTCTGACAGACAATCTCCCCAAAAAGTGCAGCAGAATTAGCCCTATGGACATGTCGGTTAAAACACCACAGTACTGTTCCCTCTTCTTAGGATCCGTGGCTCATCAAATGTATCATTTGTGTTTTGAAGGGAATAATTTTCTCATAAATTCCACACAATGTTTTCATCTATTTAAAAACGTACTGTAAAGCGTCACTTCTCTGTTCTTCTCTAGACATTTGGGGTCGTAACACCTGTTTTCGCATGCAAGAAAGTTTATTGTCAGTTTATGCTGCACCACACATCAGCTTTTCTCAGTTGATTGTGTTAAGCTGAGCTGATGGCTAATAATCCATTCTGTTTCTGGACTGGAGAAAAAGGTATATATATATATATATATATATATATATATATATATATATATATATATATATATAAGGTATGCATGCTGTCAATCTTCAAGTGCCAGTGTCACATTGGAAAACATTTACACTACATGAATTATCCACTTCAATTTCTAGAATGCACTATTGTCCTCCATCCACCAAATAGAATGTGTCAGTGAAACTAAAAGCATATATTTTAGATTGTTCTGTTATAAAATGAGTTTTAAAAGACTGGTTGCTCCACATCTGTTCTTATGTACATGCTTAATACTGAAAGTAATTATCCAGACTCTCAACAGCATGTTGTTTAGTGTATTTTTTCCATTCAGCTGGAATTTTACCATCACGCTGGAACCTTTTCTTGTAATATATTTCAAGATCTTTCTGGAATCTGCACAAAAACCACTTCCAGTAGGGCAGTTCTGAGCGGTCAGGGGTAATTCTCCATGTTGCATAAACTCCTCCTGCTGCTCTGTAGTAGTTGAAGGGAAACCACTCTTTTGCAACACAAAAACGTTTAGTATTTGTCACTAAAGTTGTGCAAAAATTAGCACAGAGATCCTCTGTTTCATGCATTCCATTAATTCCATCTATTCTGTGACAATGAGCCCTGTGATCTCCATGATGGTCCTCTATGAAGTTTGTGCAGGTGACTCCACAAAATGGACACTGAACCCAACAGCACTGACAAAAATGATCAATCAGAAGCTCATCTGGCCTGAACTTGACATCCAGTTTTTTATTAAATGTATCCATATTGCAGATCTCTAAAGTTACTTGTGGAAGTTGTTGTCTGATCATATCTTCTAGGAGTCTGAAATCATCAACATCATCATGTTTGACTCCACTGAGGTCTTTTTCAGAGAAGATCAGCTGATCTGAGAGCTGCTGTGTGAAACTCTTCAACCACAAACCAACATCTCCACTGTTGACTTGAACATGTTCAGTAGATTGATGTGCTGCCTTCATGATCTTCTGTAGGAGGAGTTTAATGTTCTCCTTCATCTTGGGTAAAATGCTGACTCTGAACTTATCAGTAATGTACCGACTGACTTCATCTTTGATGAAATTCATGAAGTAATCTCTGGGATGATGAATGTAGTTCATGTATTTGTTAAAGTCCTCCTCTTCTGCCAGTGTCTTCAGGATGTGTTTCTCTAATTTTGATCTGTTTCCATTCAGTGATTCACAGTTTAATCTCAGTTCATCTGTCAGATCTCTGGAGGTTTTCTTGTAGACGCTCTGCTCAATGGGCTCCTTCAGTTTCTGACAGATGATCCAACCAAAAAGTGCAGCTGATGTTGCTCCAAGGCAAGACATATTGAAAATAGTGTAGTATTCTTCTCTCTTCTTATCAACATATTTTACAGGATCATTGGTATCCTTAAACAGAGTGTGTTGTTCAGTGATTGCTTTGTTCACCCTATCAAAAATGGAACAAACCAAATCCATAAAGAATTCAATCTTGAACATATAGTTCACTGGTCCTTTCTCATGTTGTATTACTCTTGCCTTGATGTATCCTGTGATTTGCTGTATGTAGCTGATGTTGTAGCCCATCTTTGAAATGTTAAATAGCTGCAATTGCTTGACTGTCTGTTGATCAACATCTGTGATAAATGTTCTTATGTCCTCTTCATCCTCTTTAGATAGATGACCAATCCCAAACTTCTCATTGAAAAAATGTTTAATAGTGGACTTTTTAATTCTTACATATTCTGAATAACTCTGCACAGTGAAAATATTATTCTTACTGCAACAGTGGTCTACAGGGAGGTACCCCCTATAATTGTCATTGAGTATCTCTCTCACGTCTCTCATAATGTCAATAACTTCTATTTCAGGGGTGTCTCTGGTGATCTTTTTCACACTCTGTTGCCAAAACAAATCAAACTCTTTCTTTAGTGTTTCATCATCATGAGTTATGTGTTTGAGTTTTAAGCCAAGTTCCATGCTCTTTTCATAGAGAGTGTTTTCATGTAGTGTCCTCTGAGCATCAATCTTTTTCTTTAGGTCTCGTTGTTGAAGAATCTCATTTAATTTCCTCTTTGTTTCTCTCACAATGTTTTCTTGAAACTCTTTTATTTTAATTTCAAACGATGCTTTCCACTGAATCAGTATATATGCATCTCTGTCCTTCTCGAAAAATTCTGACATTGCATTTTTCACTTCTTCACTTGTCTTATTCAGTTCTCGTTGAAGATCAGTCTTCTTAACCTTGTGAACTGTCTCAGTTTCTATTTGGTTGTGCAGTTTGTTTTCGGTCTTCAGCATAACACAGCGAAGCTTCCAGGACCATTTACTGTATTCAGTCTCCAGTTTCCTGTAGGCTGAATCCTCCAGACCATTTCTGAAACTGAAGGTGAAGTGTTTAATCAGTAAAGCCTCCCAGAGATCTTCAACATGATTTTTTAGGTCTCTCAGCATCATTCCTTGTGATTTTGAAGCATGAGACATAACAGTTTTCTTTAGTTCTTGAATATTCTCACAGTAGTTTGGGTTTGGTGGAGCCATTGGTGGACTGCCCTCCCAGAGCTGAGGGAAATACTTCACATCATTCTGAACATCAAATCTAATGACATCACTGAAACATTCAACATCACAGTCTTCCTCTTTAGCAGCAAGTTGTGTCATCTCATCCAGTGTCTGCTGTAGTTTTCTCTTTCCCTCCATGTTTTTCTCTTGAGCTGTGACGTCTGAAATGTTCTGATGAACCATCACACAGCTGGGGTTTAGTCTGACCTTCTTCATCCTCATGAATTCCTGAACAACACTCTGAAGAATGTCCTGCATCTCAGAGGGGTTTTCTCCAAAGATGTTCATCAGTGTCAGATTTGCAACACCAACAACAAATGTTGCCAAGTCATTGTCATGATCTCTTGTTGATCTACCAACCAGTTCTAGAGCACGAAGGCCCTCAGTTTCAACAACCAGAATGTAGTCAAAAATCAACTCTGTTTTCATCCTCTCTGACACCTTGACCAACTGCATGAAAGCTCCTTTAGTTGTTCTTGCAGCACCAACAGCAAACTGAGGTCCAAACATGGCGTTCAGCATGGTGGATTTCCCAGAGCTCTGGATCCCTAAAACTGACAGCACAAACACTCTCTGGTCTCCCAGTTTCTGGATGAGTTGATCAAAAACTGCAGAGATCCAGACAAAAGGAACATGAGCAGCATCTCCATCCATCAGCTCCAGTGGAAACCCAGAGATCATCATCTCTGCTGCGAGACTCGGGAGAGAAGAGAAGTGAACCGGCAGATCTTTCTTGTTCTCCTTCACAGATGAACATGATTCATGGATCTGACCGATCTCCCTCATGATGTGCTCCAGACTAAACATGGCAGCTTGAAGATCCTCGGATATTCTCTCAAGTTCAGTTTGTTCAGCTTTTATTTGCTCAGATTTATCATATCGCTCTTTCAGTTTCATGACTGTTGACAACTTTTCATCATATTTGTAGTGTAGAGCAGAAAGGTCAGTGGATGTGTGTTTATCCAGGAGGATTCTGAGCCATTTAAAGAAAAACATCTTCCTGTGATCAGAATGTGAATTAAATTCTTTAATGAAGACCTTGATAAACTCACTGACATCAGATTCATGTTGCTGTTTGCGAATGTTCCTCATTTCTGCTAGTTTTCTACTGATGTCTATTTCTGTCTCATCTCCTCGATATCGATGTAGTTCTTTGTTCTTTTGGCTCCACTGACGCCACAGTTTCCCCTGATGAGGCAGAAATGATTCTTTGATATCTGTCAGTTTTTTCTTCTTCAGTAAACTGATCATCTGCTGTGCTGCTGCTCTTCCTCTCCAGCAGTCTTCATCATCTTCCTCATCGACTCTGATGTCTGAGTGTTTGGACATGTCTTCAAGTCTGAAAGTTGAAGAAGATTCTGAGAGACAATCACTTATAGCTCTTCTGAGTTCTTCAGATACTTCTGCCTGACTTCTGTCTTTCAGACCAATCTTGTATTTCCCCTTCTGTATTTCAATTATAGGAGATTCATCCTCAGTAAAAAGGCAAATAAGTGGCTTTCTGTTCCTGTACAGGATTTGGATCGTTTTTGCATGTCTGTAATTTCTGTTGAGCCTTGGCAGAAGAAGAACATTGACTGAGGCCATCTCAGTGAGGATCTTCCACTGTTTTTCATTATAGCCTGCATTCCCATGTAGATTACAGAATGCAACACAGTTATTGAATTTATCAGTGTCTTTCCCAGAAGGGCAGAACCAGGCGATCTCCACCACTCCATCCATCAGGACTCTGGATCTGCTGCTGCCTGGGCAGTTCCTGTGGAAGAACGTGTTGTGTTTGTCATTGATCAGACTGTTCATCAGCTGAGACTTGGATGAAGACACAGAACCAAACCTGAAGAAAAACACCATTGGAGTTTGTGCCTTGTAGATGGGCTGGGTTTGACTGATGGTTTCATTGTTGGTGTTTCTGATCTTCCAGCTCTTGTTGATTTGTCTGAATGTTCAAAGAGGAAACTCAATCTGTTGAGTTTCTGGATCAGGAACAAGGAGAGGCAGAGCGAACTGACACTGGGACAGTTTAGTGACTATCAGCTGCTTCAGGAAACCATCAGCACACTGAAACACGGCCATCTGAACATCCATCGGGTGAATGAGGTCAGATTGAGTTGTTGAATTAGAGATCTTTCTAAAGTCAACATCAAAAATATCATATTCATCTTCAGATGAGTCAATGACTCTTAACTGGTTGGATGAATTAGTTTGAATGTATCTTGCTCTGTAGTTCATCATCAGTATTTTCTGTATGAAGGTCTGAACCAGCTCCTCTTCAGCACAAGACTCATGTGTCAGTAATGAATGTTCATATATCTTATTAACATCTGCAGATCTCAGCTTCTCAGTTCTGAGAAGGTGAAGTCTCTGAAACAGTTGCTGTATCCTTTCTGCTTTGACTTCCACAGTTTCAATGGCCTCTTTTTCTGCCTGTTCAAACGACAAAGAAACAGTCATCTAAATTATTCTTTTAATAATATAAAAGCAATGATATGTTTTATTTTCAGTTTTCAAAACAGAATAAAACACCTGTAATGTCTTTAGTTCTATCTCACATTTTAAAACAGAGAAAGAAAAAATGCACTTAGATTTAGTGAAGTTTATTCATAAACTAATTTCGAGAGGATCACGTGCTTATGATTTATCACGGCCAGTCTCGTATTTACTAATCACTAATCTTCCAATCATATGAGCCCTAAGGCACCATAAATAGCCTCAGTTTTCAGTTCACTTTATCTTCGTTTGGAAGAAGCAGCTTCACCGTAGCTAGCTCCGTTGAAAAAACAACTCTAAACCAGCAAGGACAACTAAAGCAGCAGCAAGCTACAATCTTCAGGATCTTCGTTTGGAAGAACGCTCTGCTCTGCTCATCAACTACAAAGCTACAAAAGCTACAAGCGCTACAAAAGCTTCAATCTACACGCTTCAATCTACAAGCTTCAAGCTACTATCTACAATATACAATCTAAAAGCTTCAATCTACAAGCTACAATATACAAGCTACAGCAACAACAACAACTATTACTACCATTTCAAACAACTACAACTCCAACAATTTCATCAACAGCTTAAACAATAACACCAAAACCTTCCACTTCAAAGAGCCTCCACGACGCATCTGCTGTGTCTTCAACCTTATTTCCCAGCAAGATAACAGCCAAAACTCCAAAGCTATTGCAAAAACTGAACCTTTACCTTCTCCTAGCAGTACACATGCGATCCATCGTTTAACAGATTGTTTGCTGGAATGTGTTCAGCAGAACAGCAGCTCCAGCCATAAACAATGTTGAATTTGATTAACAAAATGGCCGCCAGGCTTTTTGCACCTTTTGCATTGCCTGACTGAAACTCCGTTAAGCCAATAGCTGTAAAGAGAAGCATCACCATCCAATGAGCTAAAAGACTGGAGATGGTCCCGCCCTCTCTCTTGACTCTGTTGCAAAGACCTTATGAATGAATAGGCCAGACACGCTTGTGAATTTAGTTAAGATAAAAAAAAAAATTAAAAAAAAACCAATAGACATTTAACTTCTGAAAAGATTATTACCCAACCAGTAAATTATAGCAAGCTATTGGAAAACATTATGCCATCAAGCACAAAAGTCCAAGTGTAATACGCCATACAAAGTGTCATATAAGATTATGTAGCAAGTCAGTCGGGTGTGAAAACGGCAAGACAACAAACTTCTCACTTGACTGTTATAAATAAAAATTTAAACTTCACTATCACTTCACATGCTCACTCTTCAAGAGATACCAGTTTTCCAGGACCACCAGACAAGCCACACCCCATTTGCTCAGCTCTCCATCCCTCTGCCATCCCGTGGGGAGACGAACACCCACCTCTACCATCCTTGCACATTGTAGCAATAAAGCTATCAGACCATGCATTAACAAAAGCGCTTCCATTTACATGCCCTTATTCAGATGCCTCGCATGGATATCATCTAAAACAATTTTCATGTCTGCCATACTTGTATTATTTTGCAAAGATTTAATTTCTGATTCTCTTTGTTTTTCTATTTTAGAGATCATGACTGCTGGCTCCAGAAGCTGACCCTCATCCAGCCTACTACACTCCACATCCTCTTCACAAAGGATACAATCCATTTTTCACTTTATCTAATCTGTCCTAACCTGCAGTCAGCGACCTCCGAACCTGAAACCGTTGATTATCTTATTAAAAAGAAATCGACAACAACTTCATGATTGGACCATTCAAGGCTCCTCCATTTAATATCTCGCGCATTAGGCCCATTGGTGTCGCTACTCAAAAATTTTCTGGCAAAAAAAAAATTCGACTCCTGTGAATATTTCTAACCTTGCTCGGGAACTAAGTTCTCACCCTGATACTAACTTTTCTGATTTTCTCATTTCAGGTCTAACCCACGGATTCCACCCAGGTGTTGCAGCTCTCCCTTCACTTAATTTAATTTGTCCTAACCTGCAGTCTGCGAACTCCGAACCCGAAACAGTCGATTATCTTATTAATAAAGAAATCGACAACAAATTCATGATTGGACCTTTTAAGGCTCCTCCATTCAATATTTCACGCATTAGCCCCATTGGTGTCGCAACTCGAAAATTTTCCGGCAAAAAACGCCTCATAGTCGACTTTTCGTCCCCACATAATTCCTCTTTCCCTAGCATTAACAGCACGATACCACTAGAAGAATATATGCTCAACTATCACGACATCGATCAAGCAATCTCTCTTATAAAGATAGCCGGCCACAACGCCTGGCTAGCCAAAGTAGACATCTCTTCTGCCTTTAAAATCATGCCAATCCACCCAGACTTCTGGCACCTTTTTGGCATTTATTGGCGCAATCAATTCTATTTTGCAGTCCGACTAACCTTCGGATGCAAAAGCAGACCAAAAATATTTGACATGATGTCAGAAGCATTATGCTGAATTCTATCCAGTGATTACGGAATTCCATACCTCATCCACCTTCTAGACGATTTTCTCATTATTTCTCCCCCGTCATCTCCTCCAGCCAAACACTTAGCGATCACCCAACAAGTTTTCGCTGATCTCGGAATTCCTCTAGCAGAGGAAAAAACTTCAGGTCCCAGTACTTCAATCGAATTTCTGGGCATTAATCTAGACTCGCACAAATTTCAAGCATCCCTCCCCAAAGAGAAGATCGATCGGATCATTTCTCTATCCCAAATCTTCCTCGAAAAACAGATGTGCACAAAATGAGAACTCCCTTTCAATTCTCGGCTATCTAAATTTCGCTATGCGCATCATTCCACAGGGCCGCCCCTTTATTTCACACCTCCTTCAACTATCTACCACAGTTCAAGGTTTAGAAGAAATAATTGTTCTCTCTAAACCAAGTCGCGATGAACTCTGCTTATGGATCTCTTTCCTTAAGCAATGGAACGGCTGTTCCTTTTTCTATAGCGACTTAACAACATCCCCCATCGACATTAAACTATACACAGACGCTGCCCCCTCAATTGGTTTCGGCGGCTACTACAAAGGACACTGGTTTGCCTCAACATGGCCACCTCAATTCAATTCCATCCCAAAAGACCAATGTTCTTCAGCCCTATTTAAACTCTACCCCTTTGTCGCAGCAGCCATCTTGTTGGGGGACGAATGGTCTACTTTTAGCATTCTCATTCACTGCGATAATGAAGCCACAGTGCATTGCATTAACAAAAGGCGCTCTCACTCCCAAGCACTTACGCCATTTTTAAGACGCCTTATCTGGATATCTGCTAAAAAACAATTTATCATGATTGCTGAACACGTACCTGGTTGCAAAAACCAAATTGCTGACTCTCTCTCTCGCTTGTCTCTACAAAAATTCTGGCAACTGGCCCCGGAAGCAGACCCTCACCCCACGCCTGTACCTCCGCATTCAGAAACGATATTGCCATAAACCACCCACTTCACAATCTTCACCAAACTTCTCTATCTCTCATCCTGCAAGCAATAGCTCCTAGAACCCTCAATGCATACCTCACAGCATGGAATTCGTTCAAACAATTCCATATTCTACACCAACTTCCTTTCCCTGATTTTTCTCTTCTCTCTATCACTTCCTTTATATCCCACCTTCACACCGCAAATCACCTACAAGCCAGTTCAATAAAGAGCTACCTTAGCGGGATCCAGTTCTTTCGTAAATTAATCCATGGGTCCCCTTCCGACGCCATCACAAATTCGCAAACCTCCTTTCTTATCAAGGGTATTCAGAAAAACCACCCCACCAGCCCTGACGCTAGACAACCCATCACACTCAAAATCCTTACCTCATGCATCTACACCCTTCGTAAAGGTTATATTTCCTCCCATACAGCCCGCACCTTAGATGCTATGTTTAATCTAGGATTTTTGGGGTTTCTCAGATGTTCCGAATTAACAGTTACATCTAAATTTAACCCTCTACTCCACCCCACCATCTCAGATCTAGCTTTGCAAGATAAGGAAACTATCTCTTTCCCTATCAAACAAAGCAAAACAGATCAAATCCAGAAAGGACACTCTGTCCTCATTTTCGACATACCTTCACCTACACGCCCATTCCAAACCCTCCTAGCCTATCTTAATCTAAGAAAATCTCAAGTAGCTAACCCAATGGCCCCGCTTTTTACTGACGACGCTAACGTCCAGTATCTCGATTCTGGTTTCAAAAACACCTTAAAGAAATCCTTCGCCTATCAGGTTTTTCCCCAGAGCCTTTTTCCAGCCACTCATTCAGGATTGGCGCAGCCACTACAGCAGCCTCTAACGGGCTCTCACACAATCAGATCCAGACCATTGGTCGCTGGTCTTCTGAAGCTTTCAAATCTTACATACGCCTCAGTAAATACCACCTCAAGGAAGCCCAACAGGCTCTAACCAAACCCCAAGCAACTCCTCACACAGCTCCAACTCACAAAGGTACCTAATAGAGCCTCAACTCTCGCAAGAGTCATCCAAATCAAACTCAGCAGAAGCCTAATCGTCCACCCATGGCACCCCTACAGGTTTGCCAAGGACGCTCCCAAAGGCCATTACAGTTAGCATTTTCAGCAACCTCAATTTGCTATACAGAGGCAATCGTTTGTATCCTTACTGCATTTGTACATATGTATTATATTTGTGCTTGTTCCCTTCCTAATCTTCTATCCTTATAACCCTACTCTTCAGCCTCTCATGCCTTTCTTATGTACATTCCATTCTCAACTAATTTATTCTTCACCCTACCTCTAAACGATCTTTTTTCCTTTCTAGACTCTTCGGACTGCCGAATGAGCCCCTTGAGCTCCAACTCTCGCAGAATTCGGCCACAGTCCTTTCTTCTTCACGATGTTACCTATTCTTTTCCGCCTAGACTCTTTCTCCAAACTCCAAACCCCGCAGGGGTCCGCTCAAGCTAAAACTTCTTCACTATATTTCAACTACCTCTCTCCGTATCACTCACCTTCTA